ACGCTATTTGTTTTAGTTTCATGTGACAATCTACAACATTACAATGTTTAAATATGTATAAGTAGTAGTATTTTAGTTAGTATGTTCAGTGTATGCTTAAGTATGTTATATAAATAGACATGATATATGATATGTAGACAGTACGTGAAACACTAATGAAATAAGTTTTTCTTCTTCTTCTTCTTCACATCTTACACTATTTATTTTAGTTTTCTCTGACAAGCTGAACAAAGTTTAATACAGGCTATACTCTTATCTCTTAACCCACTTTTCCCAAAGTTGGGCGCAGCTGGGGAAGACCGTTTCAATTTCCTGGAAACAAATCGATCAATACTGTGTGTACAACACACCAGTTGGCAAGACAGGCCAGTGCAGTTGCTGTTGTAATGTGTATTGGGGTCACTTAGACAACCACACCTTGATGGTTCCCCTTTCAAACCCATCTAATGAGAAATAAAGACGATGTAAATGGCTCTCATACAGCTGGTGTATGTGTGTATGTGCGGGCGTGTGTGAGTGTGTGTGTGCGGGCGTGTGTGAGTGTGTGTGTGTACACACTGTTACTAAGCAGTGTAGATCATTAGTAGCCAGGAACACATTTAACGTAATCGCACGCACACGCACACGCACACACACACGCCAAACTACTTATAAAGTCACGCACACAATCATACACAAACACGTAGGTACCCACCCACCCACCCCACCCCATACCACGCATACACGCACAATTACGCGCACAAGTACACGCACACACGCACACACACACGCACGCACACACACATACCATACGTACTTTATACCACACACACACACACACAAATACACACCATACGTACATTATAACACACACACACACCACCCCACATCAACAGTTTAAATCATAAGTCCCAAGCACGAGAATCTGATGGCACACAAGTTCAGTAGCGGGTATGGCCACCATGTGCGTTGACAACTGCCACACAACGCCTCCGCATGAACCTTGTGATGCTTGTGAACACATGATTGGGAAGACGACGCCATTGTTGCTGCAAAATGGTGCCAATATCTTGCAAATTCTGTGGTTGGTTCTGGAGAGTGCGCAGACTTCTGCCAAGAGCATCCCAGACGTGTTCGATGGGATTGAGGTCGGGAGACGGCCAGTCCATGACTTTGACTCCCGCATTCTGAAGGAAATTCCTTGTCAAAATTGCTTTGTGGGGTCTGGCATTGTCGTGTTGGAAGATCAAACCAGGTCCATGTGCTGCCATAAAAGGCAGAAGTTCTGGTGCCAGTACCTGGAAGCCTGGAACGTGCATTGCCACAGAAAGCACCCCACACCATGACACTTCCGCCTCGAAATCTGTCAACTTCTTGTACACAACACTGGGCGTAACGTTCATGACGGCGTCTCCACACCCACGCCCTACCATCAGCAAATCAAAGATTAAATCGGGATTCATCACTGAAGACGACTTGATTCCAATTCCTCTGAGTCCATCGTAAGTGTCGCTGTGCCCACAATTGACACATTGTCTGTGTAATTGAGTCAGAATCGGCCCGCAGTATGGCCGTCGTGCTTGAAGGTGAGCAGTTCTCAGACGGTTTCGAACAGTTTGCGCACTCAGTCTACCCCTAAACAGTTCATTCTGGTTGATGTAGCCGTCAAAAATCGGTTACGGAGGTGACGTAAGACAATCTGACGATCCTCTGCATGTGACGTCACACGTGGTCAACCTGGCCGAGGGCGATCAGCGATGGTACCTGTTTGCTGTAGACGCGTCTGTAAATCATAAACAGTCCGTTGACTACAACCCATCATCCTTGCGACTTCAGCTACGGACGTTCCCGTCTGCAACATGCCGATGGCACGTTCACGTTGCACATTTGAAAGGCGTGGCATGACAAATTTTCTTGTGTTTTTCTTTTTTTGTTCATGACTGCTAACAAGTAGCGCTGAAAACACGTGCGGTATTGAGGCCACGTGGCCAGTTGCACGTGAAAACCACTTTTGCCACTATAGTGCTGCGCACATGATTTTGATCGATTCGCATGCACAAAAACGGGTGTTGTCTGAAGACAATACGTGGCCATTACTGTTTAAATACACAATAAGGGCCCACAATGATAACTGGTCAAAATGTTAAAATTTTAGGATTGTGAAGTTTTTAATTTGGTTCAGTATATGAATACGCATTAAAAGAAATTGGCAACAGTTAACCCCTAAGTTTAATGGACGATCAATCCTATTCTGTTTCTCTTGAGAATCTATAAAGTCAAACATCCAACTCAAGTCTGGAATGGTTTGGCAATTCAGATTGCTCAGCTGTAGGCTGAAAATTAAGCATTTTTCTGGAATCCATTTGAATTTCATTTTGTTATATAGTAGCATAGTAGCCAATCAAATCAGCTGAAGGAAATCCAGGGCGGGTAATTTGAGATTGCGCGAACCACGGGGATAGGGATAGGGGTTAGATAACTGTATTTCTGTGACTAAATGTATCCAAAGTCCAAATCTATCTAAATGCTGTGAACCTCCACATTAGTCTTCGCGCTTCAAGGGACGCGATATATACACCAAGGGCGACTATTTTGAAGATGTGGTGATTTAAATGTGTTGCCGGGATAATTGCGTGTCACTGTGACACGACAGCATGGTCGGCTATGACCAACACGTTTGCCTGGTCCCGATTGCGGCATATAACACTGTTCACATCGAATACTTGTAAACGATGCAATTTTTGTGTGAAGATGTTGATCCAAAAGGTCAATATACCTTATCTTTCAGTTCATTGCGATGGAAACATCAGGACTCCACACCAAATTCGGCTGCAAATGTCGGAACTGCTACAGCTACATCAGTCCTGACAGTAATGAAACGACGGACTGTGCCAAATGTGGATGTCCTCCCATTGACCACATCATCATGAGGAACAGTCCTGTTGATGTGGTTGACGATGACGCTGACGTCTCTGAGTCCTCTAGTGATTCAGGGATGCCAACTGCATCCTCTGAGGCTGTATCAGGCACAACATCATTCCCACTGTTGGGTACAACGTCATGGTCATCATCCGACTTAGGAAGTCTATTTGACTCCAAGAAACGAGCTTTGGATGATGTCAGCGCCGGACCTGCAAAGAAAAAGCTGAAGGGTACAACGACTGGACAAAACGCAGACACGTACACGTATTCTCTTGGGATTGAGGTATGATCTTCAAACTGTATTGTTGATATTAACTCCTAGGGAATGGTCATAGGACTGTATGTTTCATGACCCCCACTTTCCAGATGACACCCCCCCCCCCCCCCCCCCCCCCTCTCCAAAACAAAGACAGAAACAAAATAAAACACGCACTTTCACCCACTCCGACAATAAATTACCAGTCCCAGAGCCCAGCTTGACATATGGAGCTCAGACTCTCCTTAAACGCAACTCACGCGTATTAATACTTGTAATCGGGTCAAACTTGACAATCAGGCCAGGGTATCACAGTGTATCAAGTTTCAAGTATGGTTGGATCTGTATAAAAGTCCTGTATGAAAACATAATTTCCTGTTTGTTTTATCGCAATAGGTGATGCAACCTTGGGTCACATTCTGTCCATCTGTTCTAGGGGCTGCTGAAGCTGAAGCCCTGCAAGGTCCTACAGAAGGGCCACATCCCCTTCACCGAGCTGGACCGTATCCCATATTCTGTCCGAGGAGTGTACAAGATCGCCTATAACTGGCAGACGATCTACGTGGGCTCGGGTTCCTGCAATGTCAAACAAACACTGAAGAGTCATTTCAGCGGCCACGGTCGATCCGATTTGTTCGAGTTTATCAAAAGTCTGAGCCAGAGGGACCTGGAGAAGGTGACAGTGTATTACCTGGACGAAACAATGTACGTCCACAATTGCCCAAAGAAAAGTTATATGAAGTGTATTGAAGACATGCAAGGGACCAAACCCAAATTCAATGGACTACTTCCCAAAAAAAACACTTCTAAATGGTGGTGCAATATCCAATAAGAATAACACAATCAGTTCTTTTATAGATGTAGTCAATACCCGACATCAACGTGCTTGGGTCCACCAGTGGATATACATGTAAAAAAAAAAGAAATATGAGACACCCATAACTGACATACGCCTCCCTCTACCCTCGCTTTACCCTATCACTTTCATTATCATAGTGTTTCCGATAATGTTTTGAGTTTGAATAAAAAGATAGAAACTGAAAAATATGCTATCGTGCCATTGTTCTTTTTTTTATTTGTTTTTTTTTATTTGGTTATTTGGATTCGATCAGATATTGTAGTACTGACAACACTTGTACATAGATCGGCATTACACGTGTTTAGGTACAAGTATTACCCAAGTGGGAGAAAGATGGTGATTGAATCAAAGTTTCGATAATTTCACAGTGAGAACATTGTTCTTTCAAGCAGTTTGTTTGCCTGAATAATAAATGACGCAATTTGACTGTCTGAGAAGTACAACGGTGCTACTATACTCTCCTTCAAAAATCGGCAACCAACCACTCAGTCACATAATATATGTCGATGACCAGAATTTAATATAAATACGAAAACATGCGATCATTTTAGATCCAAAAGAAAGGTGTCTTTTTTTCTTCTGCTGAGATAAAATATACATCACAATCATTGCATTAAATTTTGTCTCATCACTAATGCTTACACACAATCGATACGTCGACAGACTGTGAACAAACAAGCCAAGATTATTGTATAGGCCTCTTAATTTATAAAAAAAATATTCAGTTAAGGTCACTTATCAAAATAGCAGGCCGTAATAGCATAAATGTGTCAATAAAAATGTGTTGGTATGACTTATTGGTATAGTTACATCATTAATATCTCATAACGTCTGAACCGCCGTCATATAGCTGGAATATTGCTGAGTGCGGCGTAAAACAACAAACAAACAAAAACAAACAATCATAACGTCTGAAAAGAAGTACAACTGCAACCTGCACGCTATATTAAAAGTGACTCAGAGTTACCCGCCCTTCCCTTTATGACCTTGACCGCGTGTCATTTCGTAAAGACGAAAAGCACATGTTGGTGTTCGGTACGTTTTAGATGGCAGCTGGCAGCCGCGTTTGAGGTAAGAATAGATGTTGTAGTTGAATGCAAAATCGATTTCCTCTAATGCTTGTTATATGTTAGAGTGCGTAAAATTGAAATTAATTAAAATTAACACGGGATCATCAAAAATAATCAGGAATACGCGGGCCCGAAATATTGACAAAAATCCGGAATTAAACCTAAAGAAATATATAGCAGCTCGTCACCGACTGTTGTGTGTGTTGGCAGTATTTTTTATGTCATCTTCTCATATTATAAATTTTAGATAGGCACATGAACAAGAGCAAAGGTGATAGTTATTCAATCGCCCCACCCTTGAAGAACCAGGTTAGAATAGCTAGCTCATACTTGTTGTAATAATTAAGCGACCAAATGGGGGGCTTGCTGACTTGGTTGATGCATGTCATCGCTTCCCAATTGCGTGGATCGATACTCATGATATCATTCTCTCGATTGTCTGGCCCAAAGTCGATTATTTACAGACCGCCGTCATATAGCTGGAATATTGATGAGTGCGGCGTTAAACAACAAACAAACACCCTATTCCATCGCCCACAAGCTTAGGGGAGGCAACTCTTCCTATCATAGCTGTGTGGTCTGACACTGTGAAGCGCGGTGTTGTTTAAGGTTTTTTCCTTATAGTACATTAGTTGATACAATAAATTATGTTTTTAGTTATCAATAAATGAATTTATTGATAATGATATTAATAATTGAATTTTGTTTATAGATCTAGAAAATCTGAAAATCAAATTTGTGACATCAGTAATTATTTTTATGACAAACAACAACTTATTTTTAAATAATACAGTTAAAATAGTGGTAGTAGTCATTATTTTGTGATGTGAATAAATACATAATTGATAGGCTTTAAGCAGTGGAACAAAAAAATGTTTTTGTTTCAAAATTTGGTGCATTACAAATTATGATTTGTTTTTTGTTGTTATATTCCATTGAAATGCATGTACATTTGACGGGTAATGTTGCAAATACACAAACTCCATAAAAGCAAAATTTAACAAGATGTAATAATTTCAATATGTTCCTATTTCAACCACTGTCAGTGTGCATGGGGCGGTCGGGTAGCCTAGTGGTTAAAGCATTCACTCGTCACGCCGAAGACCCGGGTTCGATTCCCGACATGGGTACAATGTGTGAAGCCCATTTCTGGTGTCCCCCGCCGTGATATTGCTGGAATATTGCTAAAAGCGGCATAAAACCAAACTCACTCACTAACTCAACCACTGTGCAGGTCATTGGTGGCACAGTTGTCTGAGTTGCCACAATTCACTGTGCAGAGTTACATACCTTGGGCATGCCAGAAACCTATTATTGGGTTCGAATCCTGGTTAACCCAGATAATGCTTCCGGGTTTGTCCGCACCATTTCGTGCCAATGTGTTTCAAAAAGTGGCAAATGTCGCAGACCTGCATCGCTTTGGGCTTTCCTCCCACATTAAACTGAAACACTGTGATATATCTGGAATACTGTTCAAAGCTGCCTTAAATCCAACTTACTCACTACTGTCCATATATTTCAGTGGCCACAGAACCACATAATTTATTTCAAAAGCTTTAAAATTATCCTAGGTAAAGAAATCAAAATTCTTTTGACTCAAAAAACAATTTTGCGCCATGAGTGTATGACAGTGTAAGAGTGAAACTTTTCTATATCCTGCTGTATCACGGCAACCTGCAAATGACAAATTATTGGCTAGGACAATTAGGCGAGAGGTCACTAGAAACAAAAACCATCCAAACTGTCAGGTATGGTGATAAAAAATCTCCTTGGTCACATATTTCGACTACACAAAAACTGATTTTGGTGAAACATGAGTCTTCATTTCTGCACTGGACCCCCTATAAGTAGTCAAAAGGTTAGATGTGTGCTGTAGACACCATGGACGTTTTCGTAATTGAAAATCAAATTAAGCTTAAAAAACATCAGACCGCCTCCGTGGTCTGGTGGTATAGAGTCCGCACGGAGACCGGAAGGTCCGGGGTTCGATCCCCGCCCGCGTCATACCAAAAGACGTTAAAAGATGGTACTTGTTGTTACCCTGTCTGGTGCTCGGCATTAAGGGGCTAAAACATAGACTGGTCGGCTCGGAGTCAGTATACTATGTCTAAGTGGGGTATTCATGTTTAACTGCGGCATGGTATCTCAGTGTGCTAGCACTCTGATCGGCATCAGTCCAGACTAGTACAAGCAGCCACACACACACACACACACGTACATGCACGTCGCTATATAAGTGCAATAATCTTGGACGCGACTTTGAACCCCATTTCACCTCACCTCAAAAACGTCACCTTTCGGAGTTCCTAAAGAAATATGTATGTTTTCAAGGATTTATCTAAACCTGCACAAAGGCCGATATTCAGCCCTAAGTTCGCACTAAACCACCTGATCCAGTGAAAGTTGGTTGCGTCTTTCGAAAAGCCAATTCTAATTATCTTTATGTGTACCATAATTAGAACATATTGATATAGGTCAGATTTGTCTTTGTTTGTAGAAACCATTAACAATTATCAGGGCACTTACAAGTACATTGAATATGGTTAAGTTTTGAGATGTTTCAGATATATATGTCATTTATTGTTTAAGAGTACCAGTGTTATACCACAGAATTAGGAAATAATTATTGCCTTTAAGAGAAAATGTGCATGTAAACACATTAAATTCAGTTTGTTGCATAACAAGTACAAATAGTTGAACTGATTACATACGGGATGGCAAGAGAAAAACTATTGATCTGCCTAAATGTTCTGCAATAATGTAGGTTGCTGGAGACTTCCTGATGTCCTACGTCAAAGACAAGCGTGGGGTTCCTCGGGGTAGCTGCAGCTGTGGACAATGTGCCCATTATGTACCACAAACTGAGGGGCACGCATGCGGCTATTGTGGCTGTCTGCCAGTTCAGCATGAAGACCTCAGGAAAATCGCAAACCTTCAAAAGTCATTTCCAATTCTTGAAACAGACACCGAAATTGCTTCAGAAGATGAACTTCCTGTCATACTTGGCCCAAGTCGACCCAGAAAAACAAAAGATTTTCCAGACAGATTGGATGCACCAGTCTGGAACTCTGAACAGGATACAACCACAGCCAGTGGTACAAAGATGCACAGCGATTTGGGATCAGACAATACAGACAAAATCCCAAATGATGTGGGCCTGGCTAAATCAACACAGGATAGTCAAGTTCATGGATCTCAGAATATGAAGCTTCCAAAATATAAAAGTATAGACAGGGTTACGGAGGTAATATATAGGTTTTAGAATTTGTTCAGTAATGCTTGTGTTTATATACTTCGGCCATCAGCATGCCAAGCAACAATGACAAGTCTTAACTTCACTTCATCATTTAAATGATTCCATGACAAGGACTATAAGGATGAAAATATGTGCATAGGTGTAGATAAAATTATGTAAAATGCCCAACAAAAGAAAAGTATACACTGGAAAATTGGCTTTGATGACAAAATTACAAACATTATCAAAACGTTACTAGGCCTAAAACAGTCATCAAAAACACAGCAGACGTAAGGTCAAAAACACAACTATGAGATCCATATCAAATACATCGCCATCGAATAACCATTTTATGTTTGTTTCATTTTAGCCACCATCAAACATGGGCGTATAGTACTGTATACTTTGTTTGCATCTTGTATCTTGTATTGTATGTTATATTCCTTCTACTCAGGTACCACCATGCGAGCTCCTCCAATCAAATCACATGCCATACTATGAGCTTCCCGACAAACAGCCAATGAAAGGTGTGTATAAGATTGCCTATAAACACAAGACAATCTACATAGGAAAATCGCTCAACATCCGTCGGCACCTGAAAAGGCTCATGCCAGGAAGATTAAGTCAGGAAATTGGTAAGTTCCTTAAAAATCTTCCGAAGAAGAAAAAGAAGTATTTGACAGTTTTCTGGATCGACTCAGACCTATACAAGCACAACTGTAAAGGTAGGTCATACTTCAAATGTATCACCAGAATACAGGGAGAAAAACCTAAATATTCCTATCCTAAAAAGTATAGTGATGCTGGAGGTGGAGGAGCAGCTACTGGTGTCATGAGCACACCTGGAGACACAAGCATGATCACGACTACAGTCCAAGATAGTCAGGTGGAGGCCGGAGATGATGTTGCTAATAAGAGGAGTGCATCTCCACCTCGAACACAAGACACTCACATTGGTGTTGATCCTACACGAGGAAAGAAGAAGTGGAAGAGGAGTGGATCCGCACCACAAGGGCACAGCAGTCTCACCAGAACTGGACAGGGAAGAGGGAAGAAGTGTTTGGGGAGTGGGAACCATTTGAAAGAAAAAGCTGATGATGTAATGCTTGGAGACAAAATGACAAAAACAAACAAACCAATGAAAAAGGTTGCATATTTTGAATCAGACAGACAAGATCCCGAGTCAGAAGTTGGGAAATTAACATCACTCAAAGGCAAACGTCAAAGAAAACGCAAGAAGTCTAAAACAAGCGCTACTAGCCTACTCTCTGAAGCTCTTCAGCCTAAATCAACAAGAAGTTCAACAAAAGAAATTTCTCCGAGCTCTGGCAGAAAAGTACTATCCACAAAGACAAAGTTGTGTTCTGTATTACTTGACAAGAAAAGATTTGTTATACAGGAAGCAAAGGTAAAGGTACCACCTTGTGATCAGTTGGAGAAGAAAACACCAGATACAGAGGTATGTTCTGGTGTAGAAAGAGTCAAGTCATTAGCTTCCCACAATATGAAAACCCAACATGTGCCTTGCATTGAGGAGACTACGGTAACCAAATCTTCAAAGGTAACCGTAGTAAAGGTCGAGAGAGAGGATGTCACCAAAACTACCAGGTACGCAGACACTGCTCTCTCCTCAACATCTCAGGGGTCTGCAGGAGGACCTTCTGGATTTTCTGGACAAGATCATCAGTTTACTGATATGAGGCTAAACACGTCAACACCCATTCCTATCAGTTCAACTGAAGACAAGAATGACTCAGGATCTATATATAAAGTAGAAAAGTCAGACCAAGAATATTCCTTACAATGTGTCCCTTTCACTCTAGAGGATAAACAAGAATGGATTCCTGATATTTTGGCTGATTCAGAAGACTCAATGAAACTAATCATAGATGAACAGCAATGTGCTTATTCTCCGGGCAGATCAAAATGGACTCATGAAAACTGGCCAGAGAGTCCCATAGCTCCCTACAAGAAGGAACATGTTAACAGTAATGAGTCTTTTCGATATGATTCGAGATCTAGTAAAGAAGAAGATGGTGCTTCTGTTCCAGCTAGTCCCGGAAACCGAGAAGGCAGACCAGAGACATCAACTACTATATCAACACAGGGGGTGTCAGTGAGTCCTGTTAAGTGGCAGCCTGCAACCAACGCATCAGCATCAGATTCATTCAGAACTCAAACTTCGAAACTGTCACAATGTCTAAACTCTTTTGAAGAGGACAAAGTGTTGACTTCAAAGCCAGAATCATCAGCTTCTCTTGATTCTATCAACCGTTGCTCTGTATCCCAGGGTAGACTAGTGGGCACTGCTGATTGTAAAACCCCTATTGGCCCCACTGAAGAGAAAGCACCAACTGACTCACTTGCTTGCAGAGCTCCCGGTGATGTCCATCCTGACACAAGTTTGTCAAGCGCCATTGATGCCACAAAACCCATCAAACCCTTTTTGGACACAAACGCTTTGGATTCTACTACAAAGTTTCCTCCAGGAAAGAACTCCCGTTGTGATACCAGGATTGTTGTTTGTGAACAAGGGTCGTGGCACGCTGGTGCTTCATCATCTCAGTATAAGAACACACCCTACAGGCGGGAGTCACGGCCTGTGTTTGATAACATCGAACACTGGAGATCTCATCAACGTCATTTCATGTCCAACGGCTGTAGTAGACGCTACACGAACCGAGAGCGAACTTTCGACAGGGTCGAATACCGACATGGAAATATGGACATGAAGGACACAGCCCTAGTGAAGACAGAAGGCCCAGACCCATGGTAGGCAAGTTCTGGTCTACTTCAGAGGGCACGGGTGGCACAACAGCTTAGGACTTTGCAGTGTTGATTCGCTCAAATGCTCATTGGATGGAATCCACGAATCGTCACGCCTCGAGCTTCACTCCCACAAGAGTGAGTTGAGTTGAGTTTTCCGCCACTTGTAGCAATATCATGGCGCCATAACACCAGCAATTCGAAGCATATTTGAATCAATAGTCTCGTCCAAACAAATTCATCGCTTTATCGATTCAAACTGCAATGTTGTGTAGGTTGTTTGTTGTTTCATTGTTGAGTTGTTAAATATGTGTAAAGGTCACACATTGATCGTCGAGAAGTTACACCTTGGTTAAAGCAGAATGCAAAAGAAAATTCTACTCAAACACAATTCATTTCAAGGAGTATTGAGATCCAGACTTGACTTAATTTCAAGATTTGTTCCTTCAGATTATACCCAAGTTTGTAACGTTGTTCAATAACATTTTGTTGAGGTAAGGAGAAGAAAAAGTGTGATTTGTGTGTTTCTTTGTAATATTGAAATATTGCTTGTGTCTTTTATTCTACGATAACACCAAATCCAAGAGGAATGCTATTTACTTATTTTCATAATTTACGATTAACGTTTGTACCTAACTTGTTTCTTTGTAATGTTGTAAGTAGTTTGGTGTGTTCTATTCAACGATTACACCAAATCCGACAGGAATACTACATACTTATTTTCATAATTTGTCATGATTAACGTATGTACCTATTTTCACAACAAGTGCTGTATATATTTTTAACACCTTTGAATTAAATTTAATCAATCATGATACTGGGTTTAGTCTTCTGTTAAGAGATTCGGCTAAAACAATCTGTTATATACAGAGATACAGATAAGCTGCGTATTTGCGTCAAATATCCCCCCCCCCCCCCCCAAAAAAAAAAGAAATTAAAAAAATTATAAAAATATTCAAAACCCAATTACTTTCAATTAACTTGAAACACATGCATTAAATGAAAAATTCAAATGTATAAAAACAGTACGCGTCGATACCCAATGAAGCTTTTTCAGCATGCGTACAACGGAGCTAATTTCCGAAACGCAATTACGAGCTAATTTACTTTCCGGGTCAAGCCTATGTTTAGAACCGTTATATACATCTAAAACATATTTTAATCTTTTTTGAAATCCCAAAATGTGTACTAAATTTGGGAAAAACCCAATAGAGTGATGAATAGATGTGTGAAACAATATTGGTTACCAAATGTAAAATGTAATAACCCAATTAAAATATAAACCGAGTAAAAACTCAATTGCTCAAAATGTTATCGGACCGCCTCCGTGGTCTTGTGGTAGAGCGTCCGCCCGGAAAGCGGAAGGTCCAGGGTTCGATCCCGGGCCGCGTCATACAAAAAGACGTTAAAAGATTGTACTTGTTGTTACCCTGTCTGGCGCTCGGCATTAAGGGGGTAAAACAAGGACTGGTCGGCTCGGAGTCAGTATACTGTGTCTGAGTGGGGTATTCATGTTAATCTGCGGCATGGTATCTCAGTGAGCTAGCACTATAAATCGGCATCAGTCCGGACTAGTACAAGCAGCCACACACACACATACACGTGCACGCACACATACACGTGCATGCACGTCGCTATATAAGTGCAATAATCTTGGACGCGACGTTAAACCCAATTTCACCTCACCTCAAAATGTTATCTGAAGCACTGTATATATATGATAGTAAGCGCCTGTTGTTGCTTTTCGTGTAGCCCGTCACAGCTACCAAGGCGGAAATAAAACGAAGAGTACCCTGCTGATTCGCTATCGACTTTTTAAACCTCAGGGGGCGGTCGGGTAGCCTAGTGGTTAAAGCGTTAGCTCGTAACGCCGAAGACCCGGGTTCGATTCCCGACATGGGTACAATGTGTGAAGCCCATTTCTGGTGTCCCCCGCCGTGATATTGCTGGAATATTGCTAAAAGTGGCGTAAAACCATACTCACTCACACAATGTAAACCTCAGACATGGACTCATCAACAGTGCGAGTCCCAAAACTGTGAATCTTCTCTACTTTTCCTGATTACTTTCCAGAGTTGGTCTGCTGTTTAACGCCGCACTCCAGTATTCCAGATATGTCGCGCAGTCACTGCGTCACCCAGACTCCTTATCCATTTAGCAGCGTTTTTATTATGTAAACCATCGGGCAATAGAAAGCATACACTTTAAAATTGATGTGACCAAAATACAACCGTTATCAAAACGTTACTCGACTATAAACAGTCGCAGAAAATTTAAGGTCCAAAAGACAACTATGGTACATAAATAAATCACCATCGAATAACCAATTCTTGTTTGGGACATTTTAGCCACCATCAAACATGGGAGTATACTTTGTTTTGCCAGGCAAGTTGGTATTCTTTCTTTATGAAATAAAAGATGTAAGGTGAGTTGAGGTAAAATGGGGTTTAACTTCGCGCTCAGGATTGTTGTACTTGTATAGCGATGTGCATGCACGTGTGTTTGTAGCTGCTTGTACTAGTCCGGCCAGTATACTAACTCCAAACTGACCATTTCACATCACCTATTCTAATCTGGTCACAGCTGGGTGAATTTCTTCAACTGCAGCTTTACAGAGACTGCCTATCCTCTTTTGGTATGCAGCATTCGGGATCTTTTAAGTGTCAGTGAGTTTGGTTTAACGCCGCTTTTAACAGTTTTCGAGTTATATAACGGCGTGTCAGCTTAATGTGGGAGGAAAGCCCGAAGCGATGCAGGTCTCAGACGTTTACCACATCGGTGAAACCCACGAGCACTGGTATGGTGCTGACAAACCTAGAAACATAACCGGGGCGAAGCGGGATTCGAACCCACAATCATAGGTTTCTGGCGTGCCCATGGGACGCAACTCTGCACAGCGAATCGCGGCGCCTTAGACGACTGGGCCACCCGTGCCCCCGGATCTTTTAAGGGGGTATTCGGGGATCAGCAGTGCGGGACGCAAATTAAATCGTATCTTTGGTTCGCAGATTCAACATTGTTTGTTTGTTTGTTTGATGCCGCACTCAGCATTATTCCAGCTATATGACGGCGGTGATTCATCATAATGGTGCATAAAATGCCAACACAAATGTACCTCAAATCGCACACTTTTTGTCAAAGCTTTTGAGGTTGGTGTAAAATGGTATTCGGGATGATCAGTTAGACTCCGCACCCGTGAAGATCCGGGATAGAATAGATCTTCAGCAATCCATGCTTGCCGTAAAATCGGGATCGGGTGATCAGGCTTGCTGACTTGGTTGATGCAAGACATCGCGCATCCAAATTGTGTGGGTCGATGCGCATGATATCAATCACTGTATTGTCCGGTCCAGACTCGATTACTTAAAGATTGCCGTCGTTTAGCTGAAATATTGCTGAGTGCGGCGTTTAATAACCCACAGATATAACAGTGAGACTCCCGAGTGAAAACTTAGATGGTAATCGGTATTCAGATGATTGGGGGGGGGGGGGGGGGGGGGGGGGGGGGAGAGAGAGCACACCCTTTTACAGCTAAGGCAGCTCATAACCGACACAGACTCGTGAAGATCCGGGGTAGAGTAGATCTTCAGCAACCCATGCTTCCAGGAAAATGCTTGTCTTAAGAGGCGACTAACGGGATCGGGTGGTCAGGATCGCTGACTTGGTTGATGTCTGTCATTGATTCCAATTGCGTGGATCGATGATCCTGATATCAATCACTGGATTGTCTTGTCCAGACTCGATTATTTACACAGACCGCCGTCATATTGCTGGAATATTGCTGAGTGCGGCGTTAAACAACAAACAAACATAACCGACACACGAGATCGACCACTAATATAGAGGATTAACCGTAGTTGGTTTATATAGTCTTCCTTTTCTTTAAAAAACAGTGTTGACCCTCCGACACGATATATCGGACATATTCCGTTAACTACCCAGACAGAGTCCTAGGGGACAACAAGGGGCACATTTTATTTTCACGTCGCTCAGTTCAGGCAGGATCCCGTTCCAAAAACACTGTCTCAGTGCTAAGACGATCGTAACTCCCATACTTTTACATAGACTTACGACACTCGTAGCACCAAGATCGCTTTGTGGAACGATTCCCATGAGATTTGGTAAGATGGTAATATATTCAATTCGAACTGCGCAATACTGTGTTCGCGTATACATGAACCCAGAGCGAGTTTAACCGCAGCAGTGAGAAGGCTATTTATATACGCAACGCGGTGTCCGATATAACGACAGATCACTTCCGGGTTTAAGTGTTGACTACAGCAAATCGCGCAGAGCGGTTAACCGTTGTCAATATAAATACACGCGCCAATCCATGCTGTCACAACTAGCCAGATTTCTCTACTGAATAACGTCAACACTGTACAAGGTAAGGAGTTGTGTCTGTCAATTTCTTTGTATTTCACATTAAACTATAACATCAGTAGTGAATATATATTAAGACAAATATGCTGAATCAGTCTTTTCATAACATTAGATAAGATTTGTATTGAAGGCAGTGATTGGACTATTTAATCGGTTTATTGGTCTATTTAATCGGTTTTATGTCCGTATGTGTTTCCCAGAATCTGTAAATATACTATTTGAAGAATAAACGTATAAAGAAAATACGCTTCATTACCCCGAGACGTGTAACGAGTAAGGGCCAACTGGAAATCAAAATGATAGGTTAATAGAATCGTTCAGTTTTATTGTTTAAGGCCAGTATGTTAAGAACACTATTATCCGATAAACTCGTACTTTTTCCGAAGGCATAATAATGTTATTCATGGCCCCAAGTAATGATGTGTTGGGCAATCCCCGTGAGGTACAGATTAATCTAGACATTGCACCGTCTTCACACAGATAACAGGACAAGGATGGGAAAGTGGAACCACAGCAGGAACCCCTGGAACTCCCCAGTAAGTAGTCTCTAGGTAACGCCTGCCCGAGAGCGGAATATCGTTCGATCCCCGGCTGAGTCACACCAGAGGGCGTTAGAAAAGGGTACTTATTACATTATGTATTACCGCCCTTACATCATCCTCTTAGCTCCAGGGGCGGTCGGGTAGTCTAGTGGTTAAAGGTTAAAGCGTTCGCTCGTCACGCCGAAGACCTGGGTTCGATTCCCGACATGGGTACAATGTGTGAAGCCCATTTCTGGTGTCCCCCGCCGTGATATTGCTGGAATATTGCTAAAGGCGGCGTAAAACCAAACTCACTCTCTCACTCTTATCTCCAGGGCTAGCATTTCGTTAACCTACACTAACCCCTGTACCCATCCCCCGTGGTTCTCGCAGTTTAAGAGCTCTGGAGATACAGAGGATGCCCTTATATCCATTGTAAGTCTATGTTATATTGTTAAGGTGGTGTAGGTACGATAGCCGTAGCGCGTGGGTCGCTTCCTGCATGCAGGCACTGAGAACGTAATAGATACGGTACGGATAAAGGAACAGTTGAAAGAAAAGGGTCGAACTCCTTGTCCTCTATCTTTCAGTGATTTGGAGCACAGTGAGTGAGTTGGGTTTAACAGTATTACAGTTATATCAGGGCGTGTCAGTTTAATGTGGGAGGAGACGTTTACCACTTCGGTGAAACCCACGACCACGGGTATGGTGCTGACAAACCTAGAATCATAATCGGGGCGAACCGGAATTCGAACCCACAATCATAGGTTTCTGGCGTGCCCAAGGGACGCAACTCTGCACAGCTAAATACTCAAATAGCAAATCAGCGTACATATAGTGATATGTTCGCGCAAAGGAACTTTTCATTTTCCGCTGAAGTTCTTCGAACACTGCCCAGGGTTCTATTCTGTGTAATTCAGTATATGTAATAATGCACTGTTGTATAAGTTGTATAAGTGTAAGGATGGAGTACGTCTTCGGTGTATATTGTAGTGCACGCACGTGACGAACGCCCATTGGATCAGAGCCTTTAATAGCTGCAGGGTTAGGGATGAATGGAGTTTGTGGGAGAATATCGTGCAGGGGTTCGGTTTAGTCGTGATGTGAATTACTGGAAAAGAACCTGTACATAAAGATTCCGAGGATAACACTGCAATTATTCTCACATGTGTGCGAGTCAGTCTAAAGCCACGGTTCGAAGAACTGATCATCGTTTACGTTCACCCTTGAAAATATATTTCTTCAATATCACATAGCTCTTATCCAGATGCATAAAACCCTGTGGATATTCCTTTGTAGTCTCCCACACCCTAGAGAATAATGAAAAATGCATCCAACATGTCCAACTCAAGTCTAGAATGATCTGGCAAGTCTTTAATAAGATAGCTGTATTTCTGAGACTAAAGCTAAGAGCCGACCATTTTGGTAATCGGGTGGTCAAAAATGTGTGACAGGGGGAAAGGGTGCTCATGTTATCAACCTTTGATTTGCTTGACCCTGGTTTACATGTCGTGATGAACCTGTCGTGAATTATTTCCCTGTCCAATAAGACGAGGCATTTATGATAATGAACACCCGAAAAAAGCTGGAAGTTGTCTGCTCTAGTTTTGTTGTCTTGTGGAATAGGTTTGAAAATGTTTTCTTGATTGCAGGCGAAGAGAGGTGTATCGCAGATGCTCCGGCAAGAGAAGTTGGGCCAAAGCAGCAACACGTCACAGTTCAGGCAGACCGAAAAACATATTGTGGAAACGCGAGCAAAACTTGACAAACTGAGGTCTTCCACTGCGCCAATCAACGAAGATCTGATGAAACTTCAACTTCTGTGCCACTCTGTCACCTTTGTGACGTCATAGCTGTGTACAAATGACCGTCCAATCATAATCATCATTCACTGATTCACTGACAATGTCAATCCTGCCTTCAACCTGCGCACCACAGAACTGAAAGCTAAAATGAGAAACAGCAATTTTCTGAGTCGTCAATATTTTCACAACAAAAATGTATGATTATGTGCATCCACAATCTCACGAGAACTCTCTCCGTTTTATCATGCGCCATCATACGTTTGTGAAATGCCAGATTTTTTTTCAGAAGAAGACATTATTATAAACAATAAATGTTAACTGGATGTTCATTGCTTGGGATGTTTGTCTCGTTAGCCATAGATATTCGTGCACCGGGACGTCGACATATGTTAACGACGCAGGATCCAGTTACCGGGACGCCGGAATATGTTAACAATGCAGGATCCAGGTACCGAGATGTAGACATATGTTCACACTGGAGGATCCAGGTACCGGGACGTCTACATATGTTAACGATACAGGATCCAGGTACCGGGACGTCGACATATGTTAACGATACAGGATCCAGGTACCGGGACGTCGACATAAGTTAACAATGCAGGATCCAGGTACCGAGATGTAGACATATGTTAACGATGCAGGATCCAGGTACCAGGACGTCGACATATGTTAACGATACAGGATCCAGGTACCGGGACGTCTACATATGTTAACGATGCAGGATCCAGGTACCGGGACGTCGACATATGTTAACGATACAGGATCCAGGTACCGGGACGTCTACATATGTTAACGATTCAGGATCCAGGTACCGGGACGTCTACATATGTTAACGATGCCGGATCCAGGTACCGGGACGTCTACATATGTTAACGATGCAGGATGCAGGTACCGGGACGTCGACATATGTTAACGATGCAGGATCCAGGTACCGGGACGTCTACATATGTTAACGATACAGGATCCAGGTACCGGGACGTCTACATATGTTAACGATGCAGGATCCAGGTACCGGGACGTCTACATATGTTAACGATGCAGGATGCAGGTACCGGGACGTCGACATATGTTAACGATGCAGGATCCAGGTACCGGGACGTCTACATATGTTAACGATGCAGGATCCAGGTACCGGGACGTCGACATATGTTAACGATACAGGATCCAGGTACCGGGACGTCGACATATGTTAACGATGCAGGATCCAGGTACGGGGACGTCTACATATTGTAGCGGCCCGGACCCGAACTTCTGATAAACCTCGAAGTCGGGATGTAACTGAGAGTCAAAACACTTCTTTTCAATGAATAATTAGTTTTTATTCATGTGGGTATAACAATGCCTTAAATGGACAACACAATGCTTCCAAATAAGTAGATCCCTCTGAGTTTTAAGGTTTATTTGTAAGGACCAGTGTCAGGGCAAAATAATTATTGCCTGTAACTATAATGGTAGTTTACTGCTATAAATATATATAGATGACTTCTTTATCTGAATAACTTTACAGTTACTAAGATAGCAATTTGTGTCTGTGTTAAAAAATGCAGTCTATTTATAGAAATGATTACATAAGGACAAGGGGAACTTTTGGGCTGAATTATCTGCCCTTTGATTGAAACTGACCTTTAGACTGCCAAAGTCAGAATGACCCAGTATGGATCTCATCGTATTTATAGGTGTGAGAAAGTGGTCACATGTCTGTTTTTGACCAATCAAATTACGAGAAATTACGTCTGTTTACGTCCTTATTCCTTTGAGGGATCTACTTTCACAAGGTAAAATCACTGAAATAAAGAGGAAGGCAAACCATCTCAGAAGGTAATTTGGTATAAAAATGAGTATTTATACCAATCAATTAACTTTTCTAATTGATTCACTAATTGCCTTCCAATATCACAAGATAAACAATTACGTCCTGCTACGTCGAAGCTACGTCCTTGCTGCCTGCCGAGAGGAGTGAGTGAGTTTGGTTTTACGCCGCTTTTAGCAATATTCCAGCAATATCACGGCGGGGGACACCAGAAATGGGCTTCACACATTGTACCCTTGTCGGGATTCGAACCCGGGTCTTCGGCGTGACGAGCGAACGCTTTAACCACTAGGCTACCCGACCGCCCCCTGCTTTGACAGAAGCACTGGATGTCATATTAATGAGAAACACGTTCATAAATAGTGACCCTAAATACTGCGCATGAATACATCAGCGAAGATTACATAGTTCCTGATGTCACAATTAACAGTAACTTTAATACTAAATTTAATATATGTGTATATATACATCTGATGTAACAGCCAATTCTGAGATGAACGTTTATAAAATAAGTACATCTGACTTAACACGTCTTTTTGTTTTGTTATATCTTGATGTTTAGCTATGGGTCATTCCATTATCAATCAAGGTAACATCATTGCACTTTGTTGTGCACTCAACCAGAAAAGTTGTTATTTTAAGGTGTCTAACACAACTGGCTGTCTAACTAATGGGAGGACACCTAACCAATCAGTGTTCAAAAATGCATAAAACAAATATTGCCTCCAGCCTCCAAGTTTACTTAGCTGTCCTTGCAGACGGTAGCCCAGTGTCTGGTCACGCTCAGTTGCGTTGCGTATCATCCGGGTACTCACGGGGGGGAAAAACAATAACAAAGGCAACAACCAGTCCGGGGAATTGCGTTAGATCAGTGCCCGTTTAAAATCACATCTTTGTTCTCGCTACCGCTAAACAAAGATCTGAGGACATCCCATTAGGGGACACTTTAGAACAACCTTTCATCCGACCAATCAGAGTGAGTGAGTATGGTTTTACGCCACTTTTAGCAATAATCCAGCAATATCAATAGAAATTGGCTTCACACAATGTACCCATGTCGGGAATCGAACCCGGGTCTTAGGCGTGACGAGCGAACGCTGTAACCACTAGGCTACCCGACCGCCCCTCACAGTCGTGAAGTGTTGCGTTTGTCATCAGGAGCAATCATACTGACATTTTATCAAACGTCAAATACTCTTATTATTGCCTTCCGAATTAGAATTCTATTACCTATGCTGGTCCAAGAGACGACTTAATGCTAAAACTCTGTGGCTGATTTGCGTGCCACCGTACCCCGACGGGATGGATGGTTGCTCACTATATCAATCACTTGAGTTTCTGGTCCAGACTCGATTATTTACTGGCCGCCATCATATGGCTGAAATATTGCCATGAGCGGCGCTGATCTCGAAGCCGGGAGGAGTTATCTCCCTTCCAACACGATCCGCGCCTATGTCACTCAATCTCATGAATTCGAAGTTATGATAAAAATGCAATATTTTCTACTGTTTCAAGACATATATTTTTACTTTGAAAGGTTAAGCTTAACAATTACCTTTTTCACACCACATTGTTTTTTTCCAAAACATCATGTACAACAGTCAACTTTAAAACCTACGGCAAACTATATTTTTCAAGTAAACTGCAGAGCAAAGAAAGTATTCACTTCAACATTAGATTCACTGAAAAGTGAAAACAGTCGCCGAAACACTGCAAACTTAAGGTTCAAAACACTACGATGATACCCGTGTCAAATACATCACCCTCATGTCTTGTTTGTTTCAAACCATGCCACACTTTAACATGACTCGGAGCCGACCAGTCTTTGTTTTGTCCGCTTGATAAGTACCACCCTTTAAAGTCTTTTGTTATGAGATCGAACCACCGAACTGCCGCACTCCGGGCAGACGCTACATGTGTTTGCACACATAATGTGACCCCCATCTGGACAACTAGAGTTTACAGATGAAACATTTCGTTATCATCGTAGTTTGCAATTAAAACACAGGCAGTAGATAAAATGAAAAATCCCAGTGCAAATTCCATGTTATCTTTAGGATATTTGCTTCTTCGTCCATTCACTGGTGTTTCTGTTGAAATACTGTTCCTCTTCAACACTTCTTGGTAAAGTTCCTGGTGTGGATCCTCTTGGCGTTGATTCTCTTGGTGTTGAGGACTTACATAGTTTATCTCTGTTTGCTACATCTGTTCTATATCGCATTGCAACACCGTCTCCACCTCTGTCAAATGCATGATTAGTCAGAATAGAATCACTGCTCTTACACCTTCCCCGCGAGTAAGGGTTTACTCGCAATTCCGATTTCACTTCAGAACGCGCATATTGCTTATCTCTTCGCTTCACCGAGATATATGATTCAGAAAAAACAGCCGGACCTCAGTGTTTGTTTGCACAGTTGTCGACTGATCGACATGTATGTGTTGTGTTTCTCCTATAAGCAATCAATGCACGCCTGGTTTGGTTTTCTAGTCTAGTTGGTGCTTCAGCTTCATCAACATACCCTGGACCTGAAGTTGAGGATTGAGCAGTGTCTGTGTACTTGGTATTTTTGGATAACTCCATGGTCTCAATCTTTTCTACAGTTACCTTGGATGATTTGCTTCCTGTGGTCTCCTGAAGGTAGGGCGCATGTTGGGATCCACTAGACACCAGCAGTTTACTCCTTTTTCTCACTGACCATTCCTCCCTAACTGACCTTTGCTTCTCATAGTGTTTTCCGGTTAGTATATCTATGTCCAAGTCCAGTATTCGAGATATATCCGTGGTTTCTGCAGACGCCCTTTTCCTCCTAGAACTTGGCAAAAAGTCTTTAGTTGTACTTCTTAATGGTTTGGGCGTCAGATTTAGAGAAAGTGCATTTGGAACACTTGTAGGTTTAACTTGGTTGGTTTGTCTTTCAGATGTTCTGACTGAGCAGATATCTTGTCTGTGTGACTTTAAATGTCCTTTCTGATTTGCTGTACTGTTCCTTCGTTTGGGAATAAAATTGTTCCTGCGATTATTTTTGAAAATGTCAGTTACCTTCCCTTGTCCCTTCAGTGATGAAATCCTGACAGCTTCTTTCACAACTGTCTCCCTGCCTTGAAACAAACTATTCATCGTTGTTATTTCTTCTTTCAGCTTAAAGCTATCTCTTTTCTGCTTCTCATTCCTGTATGGTACAAATTGAATTTCTTCACTTTGGAATTCTGATGGGTTAAACCAATCTACAACAGGAGATTCCACCTGGGCTGGTATTTGCTTCTCAGAATATGCTTCTGTTGGTTTAACTGTGGTTGCTTCATTCACGTGAGACACGTTCGTGTCATGCAATACAAACAAAGGTTCTGTTTTGATACAAGAGCTGGAGACAAAGTCAGTACATGTTGAATGAATATCTGAAAAATGTTTTTCCTGTTTTATATTATCGTTTCTTGTCGTTGGTTTATCTATTTCTTCAAGACTTTCATTTTTCAGTCGTCCATAATCAACTACTGCAAGCCTGCTGTTTGCTGGCGGCAGGGATGCACTCCCCTTGTGCTTCTCTCTTCCTCTTCCTCCTCCTCCGTAATCAACTCCAGTAGGACTTCTGTGTGTTGGGGGCAGAGATGCAATACGCTTGTGCGTCTCTTCTCTTCCTCCATGGTCGACTCCAGTGTGGCTTGTGTGTGAAGGTGGCGGTGATGCAACCCCCTTGTACTTCTCGCATCCGCTCCCATGATCAACTCCACTTTGACTTCTGTGTGTTGGGGGCGGAGATGCAATACCCTTTTGCTTCTCTCTTCCTCTTCCTCCTCCTCCTCCGTAATCAACTCCAGTAGGACTTCTGTGTGTTGGGGGCGGAGATGCAATACCCTTGTGCTTCTCTCTTCCTCTTCCTCCTCCTCCGTAATCAACTCCAGTAGGATTGCTGTGTGTTGGGGGCGGAGATGCAATACCCTTGTGCTTCTCTCTTCCTCTTCCTCCTCCTCCTCCGTAATCAACTCCAGTAGGACTTCTGTGTGTTGGGGGCGGAGATGCAATACCCTTGTGCTTCTCTCTTCCTCTTCCTCCTCCGTAATCAACTCCAGTAGGACTTCTGTGTGTTGGGGGCGGAGATGCAATACCCTTGTGCTTCTCTCTTCCTCTTCCTCCTCCGTAATCAACTCCAGTAGGACTTCTGTGTGTTGGGAGCGGAGATGCAAAACCCTTGTGCTTCTCTCTTCCTCTTCCTCCTCCGTAATCAACTCCAGTAGGACTTCTGTGTGTTGGGGGCGGAGATGCAATACCCTTGTGCTTCTCTCTTCCTCTTCCTCCTCCTCCTCCGTAATCAACTCCAGTAGGACTTCTGTGTGTTTGGGGCGGAGATGCAATACCCTTGTGCTTCTCTCTTCCTCTTCCTCCTCCTCCTCCGTAATCAACTCCAGTAGGACTTCTGTGTGTTGGGGGCGGAGATGCAATACCCTTGTGCTTCTCTTCTCTTCCCCGATGATCGACTCCAGTGTGACTCCTGTGTGCTTGTGGCGGAGATGCACTACTCTTGTGCGTCTCTCCTCTTCCCCCACGATCAAGGCCAGTGTGACCTCTGTGTGCTTGTGGCGGAGATGCACTGCTCTTGTGCTTCTCTTCTCTTCCCCCATGATCGACTCCAGTGTGACCTCTGTGTGCTTGTGGCGGAGATGCACTACTCTTGTGCTTCTCTTCTCTTCCCCCATGATCGACTCCAGTGTGACTTCTGTGTGAAGGTGGCAGCGACGCACTACTCTTGTGCGTCTCTCCTCCTCCACGATCAACTCCAGTGTGACTTCTGTGTGAAGGTGGCGGCGACGCACTACCCTTGTGCGTCTCTCCTCCTCCTCCACGATCAACTCCAGTGTAGCTTCTGTGTAAAGGTGGCGGCGACGCACTACCCTTGTGCATCCCTCCTCCTCCTCCACGATCAACTCCAGTGTGACTTCTGTGTAAAGGTGGCGGCGACGCACTACCCTTGTGTGTCTCTCCTCTTCCCCCATGATCAACTCCAGTGTGACTTCTGTATGCTGGGGGAGGAGAAGCAATCCCCATGTACTTCTCTTGTACTCCAACTTCTGACACAGAATCTTCACTGTCTGATTCAAAACATGCTTCCTTCTTTATTAGTTTGTTTATATCTGCAATTTTTACTTCTTCCTTTAAGGTGCCACTGTCCTTGTACTTCTTCGCCCTTTCCTGGCCTACTCCAGTGAAACTGTTCTGCGGGTGTGACAGGTATGCACTTCTCTTCATTTTCTTCTCTCCTCCGTCACTTATTCCAGTGTAGTGTGGTGGTGGTGATTCACTCTTTTTGTGCGAGGCAACGTCTCCCCAAAACTCCTTCTCCTCTTGACTCTTTCTGTCTGCAATAGTGAAGGTGCTTCTGCCTCCAGGTGTGCACGTGACACCAGTAGGTACTTCTTCAGCCTCTCCTCCACCTCCAACATCGGTGTATCCTGTAGGATAGGAACACGTGGGTTTCTCACCCTGTATCCTGGTGATACATTTGAGGTACGACATGCGCCTGCAGTTGTGCCTGTGAACCTCTGAGTCGAGCCAGAACACTGTCAAATGTTTCTTGTCACTTTCGGGGAGATTTTGGACAAAGCTGCCTATCTCTTGACCTTGGGCCCCAAACATGTGTCGCTTCAACTGACGACGAATGTTTAGTGATTTTCCCACATAGACTGTCTTTTGTCTGTAGGCGATTTTATACACACCTTTCATTTGTTGCTTGTCGGGAAGTTCATAGTACGGCTTGTGATTTGATTGGAGGAGCTCGCACGTAGGTATCTGTGGAAAAGAGTATGAACTTGAATACGTTTAAGAATAGATCTTTCATACCCGTAATAAAAGACCAGTCCTAAATAATGTTCATTTTTGTTATATATTTGCAAATAGAATCGTGTCTTTTTTTATGCCTATGATTGTTTAGCTGTCAGCTGCTTATAAATCAACGTTTGTTTGACCGTAATTTATGCTTACGCAATGCCATAGCTTGCTGCAAAATCAAATCTACGTGCCGTGGGTATGCTGTAAAAGCACAATACCATCTCTTCTGAGACGTACGCAACCGGTGCCGACGTCCAACAATATGCCCATTTTGATTCCACGTCACTGCCAGGCACGCCTAGCTTGGTGTAGACAGCATATGAGTTTCAGAGGACAAGACTGGGACAGTAAACTGTTCACAGATGAGTCCAGGTTTCCTCTGGAAAGCTCTCGTGGTCGTGCAGGAATCAACAGGCGTCCAGAAGAACGTTTTAGCGACGTTTGCGTTACTCTACGTCGTCAGTTTGGAAGTGGAAGTGTAATAGTATGGGTTTGCATCACAAATCATGGGAGAACACAACTCATCACTGTTAATGGCAATTTGAATGGCGTTACCGGGACGACATCGTGCTAGATCATGTTCTACCCTTTGTGCAAATGCAGGGACGAAACGTCACGTTGCGGCAGGATAATGCTCGCCCACATGTTGCACTTGAAACAGACTTTTTCAGGCAGCATTACATTACTGTACTGCCGGCTATTTCTCCAGACCTCTCCCCCCCCCCAAGAACATGTCTGGGATGAGATGGAACGACGCCCACGACAGAAACAGAACAAGCAGGTCACGATGGCTAAGTTGGGCCAAATATACTACTCAAAAGAAGTTAAGGATCACCCGATTCTTTCATATTGGTAAAGTTAATCTGTCATGACATGAGAGATTAACTATAGTAATATAAAAGAATCAGGTGATCCTTAACTTCTTTTGAGTAGTATATTTGCTTGACATTAGGAACAAGATCCCATAGGCTGATTTGAATCATATGGCGTCTTTATTGCGCCGTCGCTGCCTCGCCTGTGTCAACGCGAAAGGTGGTCCCACCCGATATTGACATTGTTCATAGAGCTGTTACGCCTCTGTCAGGGCGGTGCATGGTATGGGTTTTGTCAATGAATGTGTTATGATAAAACATTGATCAGACGAAAGACCAAATATTATGTTGTCATTTATAATAACATAACATTTACTCCACTTTAGAAGAAGCACAGTTATTTTTTTCAGTTAGCATAGCTGTGAGAGATTTTCATTAAGGAAAATGTATTACAAATCAGGACAGAACAAGTTCATAGCATCCTAATGTGGGTCTGTATCGTTTCAAGGTGAATGGTTAGTTTTGAGCATCCTCACAACTCAAGTGTCCCATGATCTAATAACGGTGAGGTGTGGGATAGCCTAGTAGTTCGCTCGTCACGCCGAAGACCCGAGTTCGATTTCCATTCCACATGGGCACAGTGTGTGAAGCCCATTTCTGGTGTCCCCCGCCGTGATATTGCTGGAGTATTGCTAAAAGCGGCGTAAAACCACACTCACTCACTCACTTACTCTTATAAAGGTGGGCTTCCGTACATCATGTACTTTGGTCCCAAACCCGATGATATCGGAAGTGAGATTGGGGTTTTTGTGTGGCCAGTGAGCTGCTGCAGCCTCAGTCGATGTAGTGCGTTCCATCCCCAGCCTTGAGGCGGACTTGTGACCCCCTGTGTCAGTTTCCCCGAGGTCTTCATGCTTAACTGGCAGACAGCCACAATAGCCGCATGCGTGCCCCTCAGTTTGTGGTACATAGAGGACACATTGTCCACAGCCGCAGCTACCCCGGGGGACCCCACGCTTGTCTTGGGCGTAGGACATCAGGAAGTCTTCAGCAACCTGAACAATAACGTAAAATAGCATCATATCTATATTCACTGACAAAAACGTAGCCAAGCGTGGATACAGCATTCTGGAAAAAGAGTATTTTGTGATTTGGATATTCGCCTTCAGTAACGTTATAACTTTGTTGAAAATATATCACCAAATGAGTCGTGGTTTTGTTATACGTTGCTATTTATACACCCGATAACCCTTTAGGGGTGGACCATTGGACCATTTGATTTCTCGGGTGGAGGTGTATAAGTCAGTTTACATCAAAAGCTATGCCATTTATATTCATCATCCACAATCTTAGTAACTGATAAGCTGTGAGTACAAACATGTCAAGTTGACCAGTTTTCTGTCAATTTGAAGAAAACGGCACACGGAGCCTTTACTGCACATGGTGTTGTGAAAAAAGTCTTTTATTATATGAAAATGCTTTATTATACTGCATACTCAAACTCAAACTATAGGAATCCGAAACCATGAAGCGTATATATAGCATATATCAATTTCAGTTTCAAAATGTTACTTTATTGTGCATTTAATGCTTAATAATACAATGTCGTGTCAAATCGATAAACCGAACGGTCAAGCGACTTATCCTTATCTACACTAATATGTGCGTGTTTTGTTTGGGAGGTGGCGGGGAGAAGCCGGGGGAATTGGGTGAAATATATACTGGACACCGTAGGTATAAATACAGCAACATTAGGGCAATGCACATTTATTAACAAAACATCAGGTTTGTATTGCTTACCTGTGTGGAATGTCTGCTGATGTCTCGATGATGGAAATCTAAGATAACATCAACAGCATCTATCGTCTCTCCTTCTCCTTGAAGGGGTGTTATGAATCTGACCTACATTATACACGGCCAGTCCGATAACGTCTACTTTCTCTTTCTTTTTGGTTTCTGCATTCTTGGTTAACGCAGCTATATCTAGGTACGGGTGTGGAGGTCAAAGACGAAGTTTTTAAAAAGTTCCGAGAAAAGTGGGAAAGTGCTATAAATAAGGATAACAGTGTCAGAGGCAAGGGAGGTAATAAACTAAGGCTATACAACCAGTTCAAGAAAGATTTCAGTGTGGAACACTACAATAAACTCCCGGTGTCAAGACAAAACAGAAAAGCTCTCGCCGTATTTAGAAGTGGAGTTGCACCGATAAAACTGGAAATTTGGCGCTATAATAACCTCCCGGTCAGTGAGAGAGTGTTTTAATTGTACAGATTGTGTGGAAGATGAGCTACATGTTCTATCAATGTCCAGTTTATAAGGATGTCCGTAAAGAGCTTTTAACAAAATTTATTGATGTGTGTCATGATTTTAATCTTCAAAATGATTATGTTAAATTGTGTTTTATTCACGCCAGCCCTATTGTTGTGCATGTTGCTGCCCAAACCTGCAAGGCTATTTTAAACATACGGAAAGATATTTGATATACTGTATAGTGTGTTTAACTTTTGTGTGTACATTTACCCTTTATTTATTTGTATTTTAGTCATCTTTATTTGTATATTTTAACGTTTTCGTCTCTCATAACTCCAATAGGAGTGGCTCATTTAAATATTATATATATATATACATACATATATATATATATATATATATATATATATATATATATATATTTATTTGTTTATATCTATTTATTTATATTTATGTAATATTTGAGGTGAGACGTAAATAATATCTATCTATCTATCTATCTATCTATCTATCTATCTATCTATCTATCTATCTATCTATCTATCTATCTATCTATCTATCTATCTATCTATCTATCTATATAATATTTGAGGTGAGACGTAAATAAAATATCTGTCTGTCTGCCTGTCTGTGTAAGTGTGTACCGGCTAGGTGACTTTACTGATTGCGTGTTATCGTATGCCGACGGTGTGGGGCGTTACTCGTAATAGCAATCACTGGTTTGCTTGGTCCAGACTCCATTATTTACAGGTAACTGTCATGTAGCTGGAATACTAGTATTACTGAGTGCGACGTAAAATTCTGAATACGTGGGTGATAAGATGACTGAGAATAGGATCCCATTTGTTTGTTTCATAGCTTGGTATATTTAATCACAGAATGTAATAATGTCATACCAAAAGACCAATAATATTAAAAATAACCAATTGATTTATTTGAGGTCGTGTATAAAACCCAATGTTCCCATTTGTAGAATTAACAATAAGATAAAACAATCAATATAATAAGTGGTAGAAGAACCCAGATCTCCTGACAAAGACTGTGCAAAATAACTCAATAACGTTCACCCCTGCCTCTGAGGGTGTCTAAAGGATATATCAGTGATTCTCATTTGGCATTTCTTGTGGCATGTTGTGGCATGTTATGAAATATGTCCGTGACCTCGCAGCATGAGAGGAATGATCAGTTGTGTTGCAAAACATCGATCACATCGATCAAAGGGTTAACTTATCATACGTTATCTTGCACATGTTATCTCCTGCTATTAATTTGTCAAAAGTAAGTGTTTATACATGTATATGTAGTTTTACTCAAGCGGACAGAATACACCCATATCGGGGCGTGAAGTACCTATGTAAACACAATATACTTCGTTCAACGGATTAGCCGATAATACGTTGATTGATTGCTAGTTGTTATCTAACATTGTTGCTTATAGACCGCGGGAGGACTCAACGTCGACTGGTCAAATTGTTCCGGCAAAAGCAATCAGCTGTACCAAGTGCTGCGCTTATGGTTATAATCATTTAAAATACATATAGTAAAAGCTGCAACTAAACGCGATATTGGATCATATTATTTCTGATAAAATAATAGTTTTAGATACAATTCTACCGATCCCTGCATCAAAATTCTTTAAGTAATATTTTGGTATATTTTTTAACCAAATCACCGGTAGATTGGTAGAAAATGTGCTATTTCCGACTAAGTTTACGAGAAAATACACACGTCCGGCAATCCTAATTTCTGCATATAAAACAATGCCTCGCAGAACAGACAATACACTTTTCATAGTAAATCATCATGTCTGGAGATAATTTATCTCAAATTTCAAATTTTTATTTACCAAGTATTTTATCACCTGTTCGTTTACCTGAATTCGCTGAAGTGATATGATGTACATTTTTCCCTGTGCATTCTATAATGGTGACCTATAGCATCCCCTTTTAAGTCGCTTATACACAAACAACAACACAAACACATGTCATTTTGGCTGCACCTGTCCTCCTTATTAATACCCTTATGTATCCTTTATTTCATATCCTTATGCCGATCACAAGTCAAACGAGTCGAAATTATAGCCCATAATAAGAAAATTGTGAATCCCGCGAAGAAATAGGCCATCGATATTTCAATACTTTCAAAGTTAGAGTGTTGTTTCCCTTTAACCCCAAGAATTGTTCCGTGGTATGCAATGTCGAGACAATCTTGAGACTTACCTCCCCCTTCAACGACACTTCCGTGTTTTCATTAGGCATTCGCTGATGTAATAACAATACATTCCTGCAATATCTGACTTTGAAAGGTAGTGTATTCACACTTTTACACATTTCGTGTATACTCATGGTATATAATTGATTCATTTAGCAGCTGGGTCTTGTGTCAGAGCCAAGGGAGAGAAGGACAGCTCGGACTGCCAGCTAACACTTTCTCCGTGTTGGTTTCCTTCTAACGATGACATTCTTTGTTTCAGCTTGAGTAGATCTAGTTTTCGCTTGTTATTCTTCTTTATCGAAAACACCTGTGTTGTCTTCCGGATATTTATAAATTACACCAGCTGTGATAAACATGTGTAAAACAACGAGTGTGTTTAGGTGCTTGTAACGAAGTCAAAGTAAAATATCTTGAGTCACTTTTTATTCAAATAAAACAGATTCTACCTTTCACATTTTTTACATTAGTTGACCCGTACACACACTGAAATTATATATGGCATTCTCGTAGCGGATACTATCGATACATTTTAGTGATCGATATGTGATAGTAATAATTAAGACTCGTAGAACATGTACAAGGGACTATCTTTTAAGTTTTTGTTTTGAAATTTTGAAATTATGTCGATTCTTACCCACCTATCAAAATTGTAACTGTGTCATTCTTCTAGTCGAACTTCTTTATAGGACAAAAACACTATTTTTACATTCTTGTACCATGCATGAATCATCAAGAAGGAAATTGTGTTAATCATATTTATTATTTTATTGCATTGTATAATCATGATAATAAGACTGTTCTTCTAATTTATACCAGATCTGAGATCACTGGGAGATTATGTAATAAGTTGGATTATACAATGCAAATATTCCAGCAAATGACATCATGCTTGTCTAAGTCGGCCTTGATTGTCATCCAGATATTACAAACTGGTCAGGATTAAAGGCATTGAGTTGATCTAATTAAGTGTAATTAAAGAAATGCACAAACAGCTGTTTTATAGCATCTTTATTGGCTTCACCTGGTTGGGTTTATGGTGATAACTATAATGGTTGGTGATAAAACAAACACATCTCAAGTTTGTAATGACAAGATAGACACAATTTTTGTGGATAACAACTTCTTTTATACTGGGAAAAGCGACGTTTCGGTATAGATCCTTATACCGTTGTCAAGCAAGACTGAATGAGGGACATAGTACAGAATATATATAGTAGGTGGAGGATTAACAGTAGAGGATTAACAGTAACAACAATTGCATACATGAGTGGGATAACATTGGTAGGTGTTGACAACAAAGGGATGATGCTGTCACAACACGATGGACAGAGAACACATAGGTGGAAGCCAATAGGTTGCAGGTTGCAAGGTTGTTGCAGGTTGCAAGGTTGTTGCAGGTTGCAAGGTTGTTGCAGGTTGCAAGGTTGTTGCAGCATGCATCCAGGGCCACTTGTTGACTGAGTAAAGATCGTGTTGTACCAGCATCTTGTTTTGTTCCATTTATGAACTTCAATTCATACCTTAAATTATCAGATTGCTTCTGAATTCAAAATTTGGAATTATACAGTATATCGTGATACATTTCGCAGTACGGCCTTGTGAATCACAAAATGGTGTGATACACATCCAATGTCCATCCCTATTGATTATCGATTCAGCATTTTGTATCACGATATGGATCAGCCATTGTTTTGTATAGGCCTGGGTATCAGCCAACTTGTGAATAGGTTATCAAATTCATTTTATGTACGAGTCTTTGTGTGAACAAATTTACTATCCTGGTTATTCTAAAGTCATGGAAAATGTACAAACTGTCTTTAGTATGACTTTGCACTTAAGGCGTTCATTACCAAGTTACACTTTATGCTGTGTACTGTGTGTACATGGGGAATGTGGGGAATGGATGAGAAACCTTTAGTTCAGCAATACCGGGGATACATCCTGTACATAAAGTAGCTTTTTATACCTAAAAGGGCAGGGGTATGTAGTTATACATGTACCAAGGAATTCCAACCATCTGTCCGACCAAAGTCATTTTTTTGTAACCTATAACTTTTATTCCTGTAGGAGAGGTGCAGTGCAAAGTTTGATTTCAATATTTGGATTTTCTAAAGCAATACAGGTTTTTCTTTGCTTAGATTTTTTTTGCTTAAACATTTGCGTGACCAATAACTTGAAATCAACTGCATGGATTTTTTTCAAATTTATGGAAAAGTTTCCCTTCTAATAGAAAGGGTGCAGTGCAAAGTTTGATAATAATATGCATATTTTCTGAAATAATCTGATGTTTTTCATGTTATGAAAAGTTTAACTTTAATATGGGTATTTTCTGAGAAAATATTGTGTTTTTCTTTCTGAGTTCGAAACATGAAAAACACAATATTTTCAGAAATATGTTGCAGTTGAAGTTGGGGGTATAAGTGAGCCCTGCTCCCTGTTTGTCTTGTTTGGTTTTACTGTTACTCCATGCTTTATGAAATGTTTAGTGTTAAATAAGGAGAGAGTAATATTTGCAGTGTTTGAAATTAAGCATGAAAGTAAAGATATCATTGCCATCATCCCAGTGTTTAAGTTAAAGACTTAGAGAGTCCCTAGATTCAAATATAGCAGAAATATTGCAGACACCATGATCCCCCTTACATATAGAGCTACACAAATATATTTTTAATAAGGTATATTTCAACAAACCCGAAATAAATGAAATAAAAACAAATATTTGTTTTAATCATATTTCAACCAAACAAATTTGGTAAAACATTTAAGAAGTCATAAGATAATAAATGTGAGACCTTTTCAAGTTTCTTTGCATCCCGAGTATTCTTCAGTTTTCAGAAATTAAGGGACGTCCTGGGCTCATTGAAGTTTGCTGCTATACCGCTGACTCTAGTGACCCTCTAAATGTTTAACTTTTAACACTGAGTCATGACAAGGACCCCTTGACTTTGATGCCTAACTTCAGACACTGGACCCTGTTCATACACATTGGACCAGTGAAGATCCGAGGTAGAATAGGTCTTCAGCAACCTATGTCTGCCGTAAAAGGCGACTTCGCTTGTCATAAGAGGCGACTAACGAGATCGGGTGGTCAGGCTCGCTGACTTGGTTGATGCATGTCATCGTATCCCAACTGCGTGGATCGATGCTCATGATGTCAATCACTGGATTGTCTGGTCCAGACTTGATTATCTATAGACCGCCGTCATATTGTTGGTATATTGTTGACAAACAAATCATATACATTGATGAATCAATACGGTCAGTGTATCCTGAAGTCATGTTGTCACATAGGTCCTTATTACTTGAGGGGTAGACCCGTGAAGATTCCGGGGTAGATTAGGTCTTCAGCAACCCATGCTTGCCGTAAAAGGTGACTTCGCTTGTCGTAAGAGGCGACTAACGAGATCGGGTGGTCAGGCTCGCTGACTTGGTTGATGCATGTCATCGTATCCCAATTGCGTGGATCGATGCTCATGATGTCAATCACTGGATTGTCTGGTCCAGACTCGATTATTTACAGACCGCCAACATATAGCTGGAATATTGCTGAGTGCGGCGTTAAACAACAAACCAACCAACCAACCAACTTTAGGGGTAGTGGGGTGGCCGGGTGGTTAAAGCATTGCCTTGTCACAACGCAGAACTTAGTTTTGGCATGGACCTATTTTGCTATATTTGTCAATTTGAATTTCTATTTCATTTCAACTATCATGTAATTGGTACAGTGAGCGATGTAAGAGGAAAGTCAGGTATTTTTCAGTTAGTGTGCAATCTCAGCCCAAACAGACAATTGTAAATTCATGTGTGAAACAGTATATCAGTCATGAACCTTTTCCCAATTCACTATAATGGCATCCCCAAACACCTACACACCAATATAAATGTCTCTACATTTGGGGTTTGAGGGTAAATTTCAAGATTCTTGTAATGGCTGCTTTCATACTTGTGGCAGCGATGACACCATGAGTGTAATGATGGTATCATGTGTTGGGGAGGAGCTTGCACCATCCAAACTAGCAACGGAAACCACGATCTTAGGTCCTGTCTCTTCCTACCTCCATGGGACCGCCTCCGTGGCCTAGAGGTAGAGCGTCAGCCCGGAGCCCGGCCGCATCATACCAAAAGACGTTAAAAGATGGTACTTGTTGTTACCCTGTCTGGCGCTCGGCATTAAGGGGCTAAAACAAGGACTGGTCAGCTTGGAGTCAGCATACTGTGTCTGAGTGGGGTATTCATGTTAAACTGCGGCATGGTATCTCAGTGGGCTAGCAATATAAATCGGCATGAGTCCGGATTAGTACAAGCAGACACACACACACACACACACACACACACACACACACACACACACACACACACACACACACACACACACACACACACACACCCACGTCGCTATATAAGTGCAATAATCTTGGACGCGACGTTAAACTCAATTTCACCTCTTCTCCTACCTCCATTAGTGATTGGTGGTTTTATCCCCAGGTGTTTCATACCTGAAGACATTAAAAGATGGTTCTTGTTGTTACCCTGCCTGGCATTAAGGGGATAAAACATGCACTTGTCCGCTCAGTCAGTACAGTGAGTCTGACTGGAATATTCATGTTAAACGGCGGCATGGGATCTCGGTGAGCTGGCACTACAAAAGCGATGTTAATCCAGACTTAGTACAATTAGGCACACACACACATATACGTCACTACATAAGTACATTAACCCCATTTCACCTCACCACCTTTTACTGACTCCAGCTAATGTTTGCCAAAATGTTAAAGAGGGATTAGGCTTAGGTATTTTGTAGTCGCGGAAAATTTGATACAAGTCCAAAAAATAAGAGTTTCTTGATCTGATACTTCACGTTTTATGTAGTGGTGTAAAGATTCAGCAATACAGTATTGTGTTGTACACCTCTAGTTTTATGATGTATACTATAATTTAGTTGTATACTATAATTACTGAGGGTGAAACAATACAGCAAGGTCACAATACGATACGTATCATGATACATAGGTCACGATATGATACATATCTCAAAATGTAGGTTAAGATACGACACATATCGTGATACTCATATTTATATCAAAATGCATGGAA